TTCCATTCATATGGCCAGCAAATGCGTTAACGTTAACAACAATTGGTTTGCCCGCTAGCCAAGCGCGGCAGCTCGATTTTTGGTTTTTGGTTTTGTGCGCAAATCAATTGAAAGCGTCACGTAATCAGCGCAATCATTACGGCCCGTAAAAAAATATATATACACAATAACAACAACAACAGCAGCTTTGGCAAAAACGTCGCGTCTTCAAGCCGAGCAACGTCTCAACTTGACAGCACCAAATCAAATAAATCAAGCGTCGCACCCAAAATAAAATTAAAAATCCCCAACCAAAGCTTGCAGTTCGACCAAGCGAACAAGTTGTCCTCACAAATTGCTCGAAATTAACTAAAGAGAGTTGCATGTAAATGTGATACAAGATACGCTATAAGGCATATCTTTAAGATGAAATGTGGTACGATCCATAAAGAAAGTTTTAAATGGAAATGTGTTTCAAAAGGAGACGAAACTTTGGCGGGGAATCACACCACCTCGTCGAATACTTGATCATGATTTTTAATACATAAAATTAAATAAAAGTCAAAATTCATGAGACTACATAGAGATCAATAGTGATGCATTTATCTTATTTAGCTGAGTTTTTATTTTTAAGATTTATAAAACGAATTCTAGCTAAGTATCAGATAGTTCTTCAAATTCAAGTATCAAACTCTTATAGACATTTTGCTTCTAAGGGTTTCTTTAATATATATATTATATTTTTCAACTTGTATAAACAAAGTGACTTTTCCACATACCAAACTAATTAGTATATATTTATTTACAGTTCAGTTTTAGTTGTAGTCACTCTATTTTTCTGTTCGCCTCTAACAAGTTTTTCTTACAAGAATCGCATTTCTTAATGCGCATTAGTAATTGTGGAATGATGCACACACGTGATCGATTAATCGGTAATCGATAGCCGTCTCTACATCTTCATTAAATTGACCTTGTACCTCATAGCGCATCAGATCTTCGGTGTTACGCTTTACATTTACTCTCACTTCACGTTGGTGAACTGCATAACTCAAAAATCGATCAGCTCGTTAGTTAACCAACAAATTAGTTAATTATTTAAATATGAGCAACGGGATTTTGAAACAATCAACTGGTTTGCCAAAAGAGCAAGGTAACTAACTATCTTAGCTATTTCAGCTATTTCATGGCAGGAAATTCGTTAGCCGCCTACAGCAACTAAAGTTAAATGGAATTTAGTGAGCATCGATTAATCACTCACGGATAATAAATTTCTAGTTTCAGAAGTCTCTGAAAACCTGATTGAAATATCACTCAATGACAGTAAATTGGCAATAGCTTCTATATTTGACAAAAATGGAAGAACAAATAGCTTGAACTTTCTTTGTGGCTAAAAAAAAAAAAAAAAATACAAAAGAAAAGAAAAGTTAAGAAAATAAAAATGAAAATGAAAACAAATAAATAACAAACAATGTTTTGCTGGCGAATTTACAAAAACGATCCATAACAAAAACTTGGTACACAAGTTGACACAAATTCGTTTGGAGTAAATGCAGAAAATACGAGAAAATTACACAAAGCGCCAAGTGAAAATTTATGAAATTTTAAATATACAAAATATAACAATTATAAACTCACTAAAAAACTGGTTTATTCAAATTAGACCCACATCTAACCACTCTTATACATTATCATATAAGTAAATATTCCAAATTTCTAGCTTAGCCACAGACAGATTTAGGTATAATAATGAAAGCTAGAGCTAAGAGCTGACAAACAATTTCAAGGCTTCACATTGCTAACCTACAAAAGCTGAACGTAAAAATAAACAGAACAGCATAAAAATCAGAAAAAATATACAAAATAAATTGAAAAGCAAAAAAATGTATGAAGCCAAACAGAAATCCGCAAACGGAAATACTTCAAAACAAAAAAAAAAACTAAAGAGAAAAAAAAAACAAACAAAAAAAAACATTTGGTTTTGTTTGGCTTTTGCAGTGCATTGTTGTTTTTGTTTTGCGCTTGCTTTTGTTTATGCCGTTGTCAATTTGCACTACTTGTTTAAACAAAAACAAAAAAGAGACGAATAATAAATAATAAATAATAATACAAAACCAAAAGCCATGCTCAAATGAAGAGCGACGCTAATTGAAACCGCGGCGGGTGCTCGAAATGGAGACACCTAAATAGAAGAATTTCAAGCAATCGAGATTTTGTATTGAGTTAAGAACTGTTCTTATAGCTTATTCGAGCACCATAAATGCGATACCTAATAAACAATTGGATCTGTTTCGCGCATGCAGCTCGAAAGGTGTTTAAATAAACACATTTGTCTGACAGCTGAGCGAATTGCTGTTTATGGGGTACGGGATTTCCAATTTCTATACTTGCAGCTGATATATAAAATGAGTTAGTTGATTTTAATAAGTAAATAGGGAAACTAAAATATATTATATATGAAAAATTAGACTGAAGAGCTTGTTTATATACCGAGTATTTTAAAATTATTTATCCAACTCAGATCAAAAATAAAATAAAACAGCTAACAGCTGCTATAGCATTATTGCCCATTTAAAATATTATATTGATATTATAATCTCTATATGGACTTGAGCATTGCCCCTGAACATGCATGTTTCATTTCCCAATTTCTATTTACTAAGGTTTCAATCTTTGCTCCTGAATACGCACATATTATACAAGATATATACTATATATATAAAAAAAAAATGTTTATATATTCTTATATATTCTAGTTCTCACATGCAAGAAATTTCTATTTAAAAAATTCTTCAATTTTATTGCAATCAAGAGTGTGGCATTCCCGCATACCCAATCAATTAGCAATCAAGTGTTTCTATTTCTCTTAACGTGCAATAGATCTATGATTTTACCCAACAACCACGGGGTTTTTCTTCACGAGTCGCACTCATAAATATTCAGAAATGCTCAAGAGGCAGCAGCAAAAAAAAAGTTATCGATTAACCAATACATTATTCATTGTCCAGCGTCTATCGAACTGAGTCGCTCAGTTAGTTCCTGCTGCACCCAGACAGCTAACTATTTGTGGAAGCATTTTAAATGTCTGGCTAAATATCAATTGCACAATTTGCCACTTGATTTTCCTTTTTCAATTAGGCCCAAACACACGTAGCGAGCAGTTAACAGACGCCAATTGCCACATTAATGCCCCATTAAAAGAGCATTGAAAAAACATTGTAGAAAATTCCACAGGCGCATCATAAGTCTTTAACCTTTAGATAATAACATGGAAAGCCAGATAAGAAAAAAAAGGGGTAGAAGAAGATGAAAAAGCAAAGAAAACAATATATAGTATATAGGAAAAAAAAAAAAAAAAAAAAAAAAAAGAAAAACACTGCAGAAAATGATGTAAAACTTGTCTTTGAAGCCGACGCGCGCTGCCAACGCCAACGGCACTCGCTCTCGGTCCGGCATGGGATCGGCTCAGATCGGAGTGGAGTCTGCATGCAGTTGCTCCCATTATAGTTGTTGTTGCTGCTGTTGTTGTTGCCGTTGTTGTTGCTGCTGTTGTTGCATAAAAAGCCAATAGCATTTTGTATCACATTGCAAGGCGTTGCTGTGGCAGTTGCTGTTGCTGTTGCTGTTGCCGCTGGTTTCAGGTTCCGATTCAGACCAAGCCAAAGCCACATTTTGGTGGCAGCTTTTCACTTCCGAGAGTTGTTGCTGCTGAATGAAATGGAGTGACTCAGTGCAGCAAGTAAACTTGACTCCTTGAAATGAGTTCATACCGTTCATTTAACCCAACATTGGCCAACGGTTGTTGTTGTTGGGAAAATATAAAACCAAAACAAGATGAAAAACTTTCATAATTACAGAAGCAAGCACTCTTCAAGCAGGCATTCAACTTTTTGCAGACACTGTGCAAATGTGCGCAGATTGGCTCTTGCTCCGTTGCTGCCAGTAAGGAGCTGATTATTTAATCGAAATGATTATGTTTGCCATCGGCTATTAAATGTAATCATCAAACAACAACCACAACAACAACAACAGCAATAGCAGCGGTAGCTATTCAAATTGCCCGCCTTCCCAGCTCGAATTTGTTGCACTTTGATTGCCTATAATTAGGCAGGAAACAACATAAGTCACAAGATCCCAGCTGATATCAAACAATCAAATGCAACAATTTCGCTGAGATTAGCGCACACACTGGAGAGTGCATCAAAAACAATGCCAGCATGCGACAATTGTTGTTGTTTATCATTCACAGTGCGAGTTCGACTTGATGGGCGAGCCGAGGCGGCAGCTGCTAGTTAAGTGAAATTACAGAGTTACGTTCCATGTGAAAAGTGCGTCATTGGCTTTGTTTATTGAAGCTCACATGACAATTTATCCGAAAGAAATGCCAAACAAAGTGAAAATATCTTCAAATTATTGTGCCTTGATGCTTCAACTATAGTCAAATAAATCGATCTTTCTTTGAATATAATATAATATATAATTTCAATTCCGAATATTTAAATACATCAGATTTCAGTTTACAAATATAAAATTTTGTATAAATCTCAATTGAATCCAAGGCATGTGGCTTTGAGTCTTTTGTTTTGATATTTAATACCCAGTAAGAGTGCTCTAGTCGAAAATGTCCGACCAAGAGATACTGATACCTAGCAAAAAGCTGTTACAATGATTCATTGGATATCATATGAAAAACGCTCTATTCGAAAGTGCTGCAGCAGGAGTTGCCGGTATTCAACGAAACACATGCACAAATAGTAGATTGCTCCATCTTTAATCATATGACATTAAAGCTTGACATAAATGAAATCAGAATAAACAGAAATCATAATTCATATTAGAATACATATTTAACATAGCAAATATCTAGCTTTAGTGATTGACGAGTTCCGAAAGAGAGTCTAATGAATATATCGACTTCGTGTAATCCGTAGAGCTTCCTTCTGCCCTCTGTCCCACACACTTGCACAATCACTATATAACCTTTCAAATCAATGTCAATAGCTTTTAGACACAAATGATCTTTAATAGTATTTGCTCACAGAATAATTGCCATGCAATTTGCTAAAGCACCGATAATATAGCTTTTGATTTATTGTGGCCAGCAATTCATTTAGATAACTTGGCTTAGGTAACCAACGAGATAGCATACCAGCTGATTATACACGACGTTAGCTGCGAGGCTGTGAATCTCAGTTCCAGCTATGCATGAGCTGAATCTTCAGCTATAAAAACTATTCCACACGCATTCGTATTTATCTGCGCCTATATGCTGCTTGTACTAAAAATTTACACACGAACCTAGTGCGAAAAGCATTTCATAAGAATTTCAACAGAACTGTGAGACATAAAAAACTAAACTAACTAAATGTGAAATACAACAAAGCAGCCTCAATCGCAGTCGCAGTCGCAGCCGCAGTCGCAGATACTGGGCAAACGGTCAAGAATGCGTGCTGTTTTATAAGATAGAAACTCTGGGCATGGTTAGGTGTTCTAAGCCAGCTGCCAAGCACTCGGATTGCACAGCCCGCAATGTAAATACGCTTATCGTGGGCGAGGCTTACGGTTCGCAGCTTACGGGCCAACAGTCCGTTGTAATAGTCAGCTGTCAGCTGCCAGCTGCGAGCTGTAAAAAAAAAACAAAACACATTTTTATCGCCTTTTGGTGCTCAGCTTTCGTCGCTTGAGGTTTCACCTGAATATTGATAGCATTTTTTTTATTTCCAGTTAGAGTTTAGCACATGTTTTAATTGCGTTTCCAAATTGATTTTAAATGCTTTGACACGGTTCTATGGCCATAATAAATGGTCAAGAAATTAAATATTAATGAACAGCTTTGATATCTAAGCCATGAGGCATTTCAGTCAACATTCAATATTCACTATACAATTAATTAAAGCAGCACGCAAAGCCACCTGTCCAAGCGACGTTCAAGTACTTAATTATCATTCCGAGTAAGACAGATACTCAATAATAAGGTCAAATTGGCTATTTTAACAAAATGCCTTGAATACGCAGCAATAAATGTTCGAAAATCAATTAAAACAAAACGAACATTATTCACTGCAGCTGTTGCTGCTGCTGCTTCTTCTTCTTTCCTTTCTACCTCTTCTCTTTTGGCTATACCTTAAGAAAACAAAAACCCCTTTAAATGTGTCCAAATTATGCAAATATTTTTGGCTTTTTCTTTTTACTTTGCGACGCTTTGAATTTGTTTACAAAAAGTTGTTTTTGAAACATAAAAAATGTATATAAAAAGAAGACAAAGAAATCAAAAACAAGTTAAATAACAAATTGATAAATATTAATAAGGCCGCAAGAAAATACCACCACACTAAAAACAAAAAAAAACGTTAAGAAAAAACTTGTATTTTTGTCGGCGCGCTTCGCTGCATGCAGATGCGCAAATACACGGATACATAGATACGCAGAGACGCACAGAGATACATCCGAGTCGGTTACAGTAACGGCTAAAAAGCTCGCTGTTTATATCATTTTAACGGCATTCGTTGTATGCAAAGCACACTTGTATCTGCTAGATACAAATTGCAATCAGGTGTAAACACAAATGCGCCGACAAAAGGCGACGCGTGTGCGCGTAACTTGAGATACAATCTAGTTGTATACACACTCCAGATGAGTGTCTGTGTGTGTGTGTGTGTGCATTTATTTATTGTTGTTGGTTGCTGTGCAGCTTATGGTATTTAAGTTTGAAGTAAAGCAGCGAAGCCAGCTACAAAGTATCTTAGAGATTGCAAATGAGCAGAGGGCAGAGCGGTCTCGAATTTCCTTGGCATTAGAACGTTTTGTATCTGGCAGATACTTTCAGTTGTAATGCCACATGATTAAGTGCCATCTAAACAGCCTAAGCCCTCAGCATTATCTAAACAGTAGCCAAATCGCCCAGATAAGACACTTGTAAAGCAATTTACGTCTGCTGACAGTTACAGCTGCGTAATTCATAGTGTGACTCAATTATTTAATCAATTTCATTAGAGCTGTTTAAGGTGTAGTAACAACAATGATTCATTAACAGATGACCTTGTGTCTAATAAATAGTTTACAACAAATTAGAGGTGACAGCGTGAAAAGACTTGAACCACAATTAATCTGTTTTCGACTTGAAGCTGAAAATAAACAAATGTTCTCTAGGAGACTTTATAACAGCCGAGCAATCGGCAATCTAGAAACAAACTGTAGAATAACTGTTTAACTGTACAAGTTAATGTCACGCATCGAGATACGACGAGGGCTATAATCAATTTAAGATTCGCCTGGCCTCAAGTGCCTAAAGGCAAGCCAATGACAATCTAGATCAGATCAGAACAGAACACCCATATGTATATAATCTTCACCACATGAATGACTGTGAATGTAGAACATGATTTCTAGACGATTTCAGTCTACGTGCAGTCCAGTGCGTTGCGCTCCAATAAGCGCTGCCCAGTCAATTGCTCAACCACCCAGAGTGGATCTTGTGAATATACATTCATATATATGTATGTGTATATGCATATCCATATTTATGTATCTGTACGTACGCATGTTTAGCCATTTGCAGCCACTTCCATTGCCAAAGGGAATAACTCTTCTCTCTCTCTCTCTCTCTCTCTCTCTCTTTGCTTTGCAAAACAACCTTGTGCCATTTGCCTTTTACATACATGTATGTGCATGCGATATATATCGAAGAGCCATAATTAAAATCGAAAAGTGTTGCCCCAAAAGCCAGCCGACTCTCAACTTGCAATTCAAAAACCCAAAACAAAAAACCAGAAAACGCGCGCTTGCGTTTTGCGCACCTGTTTTCAGAGCTAGCTGCCACGCCCCGCACCGCTTCGCACCGCAACGCCCTCGCTGCTGCAGTGCTCCCTTGTCAGTTGGCCTGTCCGGCCAGTTTTGCGTTTTATGAAACAATTACGAGTTCCAATCGCACACAACAACAACAACAACAACAAGAGCAACAAATCGAAACCAAACCAAAGCCAAACCGATTCGAGTTGAGTCGCATCGATTGAAGCCCCCGACGGCTGCCAATTCGTATCGAGCACCAAGTGGCCAACAAGCAGTTGGCCAACTTGGGCAACTTGGCCACGAACCAGCGGCACGCAGGCGGCAGGCGGCAGCCGCTCGGGGGACCCATAGACAAAGTATTACTGCAACGTTGTTGTGGGGCAAGCCAATGCAATGTGCAGCCGCTGCACAGTGGGCACAGTGGGCACCATCCAAGACAAAACGTTGCTCAAATACCCCATTTGCAGTCCATTCTGAGCAGGTTTTCGTGAGTTCTCTTTGAGCATTCAAATTGTAAACAGATAAAAACTTGAAATAAAATTAAATTTATA